TGGGGTCAAACATTTCGCACATTGTCCAAAATTGATATACAAAAAGCTACTCCAAGCGGCGCGGCGTAGCGCCGTGGTTTTTTATTCACACGCAAAAAACGCGACAGGGTGGTAATATATGCTTCCCCCCCCCCGCTGGGGCGAAGGTTAACCTTCCAGGCGGTGGGGGGGCATTTTTTTGCCCCCCCTTTAGTTTTTTTCGATATATCTCGAGAACCGCTGCGCCGATCGTCACCAAACTTTCAGTACCCTCCCGGGAGTAGCTAGCGCACATGGTGACCAATTTTTTTCCAAAGGCTATGATAGGTTGGTCGCTAATGACGTCAGAGTGACGTCATTTCTGCCATTTTCGACCCCAAAAAAGGTTTCGCGGGAAGAGCTGTCAGGCCTACAGCTTTAGAGATACAGAAAAATGTTTCAGACATAAAAGGTGTGGAATCAACAGGGCTACAAAACTGCTATTTCGGTGTTTCGAATTTTTTGGATTTAAACCCCCAAAAACCAAAATAAAATTTTTTAAATATAATAGCCGAAAAATCCAAAACGTTTTTTGAATTTCGAAAAAACCGGAATATATGTGATAGTCCCTACCACCTTCTATCTGCATACCAAATTTGAGATCGATACCTCTTTTTTTGGCCAAGTTATAGCGAAAAAACTGTTCAAAATTGATGACGTCAAATTTTCAAACTCAATTTTTAGCAATTCTAGACCTCGTAGCGCAAAACAAAGACCACCATTAGACTCCCCGTGACGAGCTGCATCGCATTGATACCCATTTTATGCAAAAATTTCAACTTTGAAATTTGACCTTTTTTGACCTGACCTTGACCTGACCTCCACCAGAAAGTGACCTAAACCGTACCTGATGGTCTTATAACCAACACCATTGAGTTGGAAATGAAAAACTGGCCATAAAACATGCATCGCACAACCTTAGTATAGTTGGGTTCATGTGGCGACCCTTGGTGACCTTTGGTGACCTGACCTGTGACCTGACCTGGTATGACCAGTGACCTCTAATAGCAACATATGTACTAGACAACTGACGCCCTATCGCTGATTTTCGACAAAATGCATTTTACTCGGTGTTATAGCGCTTTCCCTAGAAGCCCCGTGAACATTGAAACATTTTATCTTTGACCTGACTTGTGACGTCATCGGTGACCACGAGGTCAATGAAATTTGGTTTCCGTCAACAAATTTGACAGGGCTATCGAACGACGTTTGAATTTTTTGGATCCGTCCAGTAGTTTCGGAGATACGGGGGGGGGGGAAATGCTCCCCCCCACACCGCGCGGAAGGTGGCCGGTAGGCCCACCGCCTGCCGGGTTAAGTGTTTCGACGTCAGTTTCAAACTGATGTTTGAACAATAAACTCGACATACATACACACATACTTATGCGTGGTTCACACCGGATCCGTAATGACGCCGTAACCGTTACGGACGTAATGAGCTAGAGATTTCTCAAGATTCCCCAAGCATTGTGACTTTTGTAGACGAAGTTGAAATGTGGCAACCAGTCGCCGTAAACTGGCAGCGTCCACCGTACTCGTTACGGAACGTAACAGAAGTTGGGAAAATTGAACTTTTCGGCTCGACCGGCCGCCGTAATGACTTTTATCGACATATATCTCCAAAACGGTTTGACTGTTTGATGAGCGGTCTTCTTTGGGGAGGGGCTGCATCCTTTCTACCCTGAACTGTGCTATTGATATCACTCATGAGTGCCTGTTACAGCACGTGTCACGTGCGACGAGAGAGGTTCCAAAAGAGCTCATCATACCATAACTCGGGAACGGCCGAATGGAAACGGTTCAATATTTGTTTGTTGTTTTGGCTGGGTGCACACTACACATCCCGTGACCTTAGGACGATTTCAAATTGCCTCAGCGCGTGCGCACGTGCGCACCCGTTTTTCACATCTCGGGATTGGCTGTGCCAATCGCGCCCATATTTGGTATGCTGAATGACATCATGTTTATATGCAAATTGCACAGGTTGACAAAAGCATTGATCTGCACGTGCGCACGTGCGTGCCTCTTTTTCATATCTGGGGATCGGCTGGGCCGATCGCGTTCATATTTGGTGTGCTGAATGACACCATGTACATACATTGTACATATGAAGATTGAACAGATCGGCAAAGGCATTGGTCTGCACGTGCGCGCGTGCGTCCCCCTTTTAGGCATCTTGTGATCGGCTGGGCCGATAGCGCTCATATTAAGTATGCTGAATGACACCAAGTTTATTTGCAGATTGCACAGGTCAGCAAAAGCATTGATCTGCACGTGCGCACGTGCGCACCCCTTTTTCATATCTGGGGATCGGCTGGGCCGAAAGTGCTTATATCAAGTATGCTGAATGCTAACATGCTTATACATATGTAGAATTCACAAGTCGGCAAAGGTATTGATCGGCACGTGCGCACGTGCGCACCCCTTTTTCATATCTCGGGATCGGCTGGGCCGATAGCGCTCACATTTGGACTTTGGTATGCTGAATGACACCACGCATATAAAGTATGCAGATTGCAAAGGTCAGCGAGAGTATTGGTCGGCACATGCGCACGTGCCCACCCCTTCTCACATGTTGCGATTGATTGGGCTGGTCTGGGTAGCGGGTAGCGGTCTGCTCGTGTGCAAGTGCGGACCTTTCTATTTGAAAAAAATCGTATCAACTCGCCGACTGATTTTTAGGCATTATTTCATGTAGGTATGCCTTCAGTATGTCATAACCTACTTTGTATCTCTTGAGTGACGTACATAAAATTCATGTTCCGTAATTACATTTCACTCGTTTATTTAAAGATAACATTTCCTTCGTAGGCCTAGCCTAGCCCTAATCATGTAGGTATGTTACAGGTCAAGTTCAAAGTCCACAAAATAAATTCCAATACATAGATTTTCGTGCCACGTCTTTTATGCAGTTCTGAGTCAACTTCGCTGCCCATATTGCCCCTGCTAGACTTGATGCTTGGTCTTGGACGGACACTGCACCGCCTCTTCGCAAGCCAATTGAGCAAACTGTACGATGCGTACGTTGATCTTGCCCATGGATAGCAGCGATTCACGAGTGTAGAAAATGAACTTCAGCGTTGACCAGCATAGGCATGTTTTCTTGTTTATGCCAAAAGAGGATAAAAGATTCTCTGTAAAGTATCATGACCACAATTATATTTAATTAACAATGATATGCCTCCATACAATTATAAACCACTATGCAAAAGTGATAGGAATAAATTTAATAAGAAGAGAGCAAAACCAATTAAAATTCTGACGCACCGATATTAAGAAACAGCTCTTAGCTTTAGCCCATTTTTCGATTGTTTTTAAGCAAAATAGTTTTGGCGCACTTGATTCGAAGGACGGCGCTCAACATGGCAATTCCCGGTGCACACCGAATCCGTAACGAATACGGCGTTACGTCGCCAAAAAATCGAACTACGCATGCGCGTTGCATTGTGCCCTCCACTTTCAAGATATTATTTAATCGCCGACGTATTCATTACGGCACGTAACGGTCATTACGGATCCGGTGTGAACCACGCATTAGTCGTTCAATAAGTAAGGTAAAACGACAAGTTAAATGCGAGTTTTTTTTCGGCGACTATAGTCTGTTCCATATCAAGCTTGCAGTCGGAGTTTCTTCGGCAGATCGCTCCTCCGCTCAAGAATTTGCGACTCAAAATGTAAGATTAGTATATATACAGAAATCACGCACTGCTTTCAGCAGGGCACTTCGGCTGCAAGCTTGAAACGGAACAGAGTATAGTCGTTTATTGTTTCCTTTAACTTACCTTTAATACCACTGGACGCGAGCGACCTCGGTGCGGACATATATGTATGGTCATCATGTTTCGGCTGTATGCTACGCTGATGATCTGCTCCTCTTTGCTACAAATGCTAAAAACCTCGATGCCATGCTGGAGCTGGTTGGTGACTTTGCACAGCGCTGGAGGCTCGAGTTCGTTCACCCGGAGCCAGCCAAAACTAAGAGCCACTGCATCATCTTCGGCCATGAGCTATTGGCTCAAGAGCCCAGCTGGAGTCTGTCTGGTCAGAGGCTTAGAAACCAACACCAGTCTGAACATCTCGGCGTCTTACTGGACGGCAGCCTGTCGGCCGCACCGCAAAATCCGACACCGCACGGCAAGAGCGCGGGCTAGCCTGTACAGCCTTGCGCCTGCCGGCATGCTGGTATCTGGGCTCTGTCCAGCAGATAAATGTTTTCTCTGGAAGTCGGTGGTTCAGCCAGCACTGACATACGGCTGTCCGTCCGCTCTGCTCAGCTCAGCTGACATTGAAGAATTGTACTCCGCTCAGACAGTGACCCTCAAGACGGCGTTGGGGCTGCCTCGCCGCGCCCACCACTTAGCGCTCCTCGCTGCTGCCGGTATAGCCCCTGCACATGAACTGATTCGGTCGGCATGCTTCCGAGCTGCATGTGGTGCTCTGTGGTCCGAGCACCGACTCCAGCAGGCCTTCCTCTCGGGCCTGACGAAGTTGGCCATGTGCCCCGCGCTACTCGGAGAGTCTCTTCTTCCTCAACTGTTCAGCATGTGCGGAAACGACTTCTCTGCCGTGGTCGAGGCAGTTGCCGGACTACCGTGCAGCTACATGGTGACGCCATTGCGCGCTTCAGACGGGCTGGCGGACAGTATTCGGTGTTTGTTGAGAGACAGCAGCCAGGCTTCGCGTCGCCTTCTAAGGCTTCTGACCTGCCACATCCCACCGGGGGGATGTGACCCCTGTGACCTGAGCTCTGTGCAGACACGCGACAGTTTTTATCACTGCTGGTGATTGTAAACAGCTGTTAGAAATTTGCCAATGTTTGGTGCGAAATAAATATGAATGAATGAATGAATGAATGAATTGAGATGTCTAGTCATAAAAGCTTGAAATTATATATTAAAATCACACGCCTTTAGGTAAACGCAAATATACATACATACGAGAAGCGTCTGATTCTGAGTCGATTCATGATTCGACTCTGAGTCGTACCCATGTCTGCCGACCTGGCATAAATGCATGAAGCCATCATCTTGCATAAAAAACAGCATGATATTCGTGATCAGCACCCCGAAAACCACATTGCAACCACACTTGACGCTCTAATAGGTCCCGATTTTCCCGACTTTTGGGTCATTGACCTGACCTGGAAGGCTGACCTAGAACCCTAAAATTGGGTATCATCGGCTTCCTCTCGTCACAGGCAACACGTTCGTTTTTACGAGAACCTCTAGCTCGATCAGGGGCTAAACGACAAGGGGTCCCACGTGAACGGACTCCCCCCCCCCTTATACGTTCGCGGATTGCAAACCACCAGTGCGGGCGAAGGTTAAGCTTCAGCGTTGCTCAAATTGCAATAAATCACGATGATATGTGCTTGAGATCAGATTGGCGCACGTTTTATTTGCAAACCATGCCCACACTGGTGGGCGTCACTGTATGGTATTAAAAGCGCGAAAACTATAAGAAATGCTGCCTTGTTCATGTACGCTTTGTTTATGAAAATGTTGTGTAAGTGTGCGTGCGTGCGGGCTGGCGGGTGATGTTGGACATGTGTGCAGCATGTTTCAGCTGCGTATTTTATGGCTTCAAAATGTGTTTCTCACCATTACAAATGTGTCATTTTACTACGGAGTGAAGCTGGAAAAAATGACAAATTCAGTTTAGGTACTTTAATTTTAATAACAAAGAAGGTGAACCTATATTATTTGGCAAAGTTGTAAATCTCGTTGAACCTTATTTCACTATGGCGTGATGCATGTTTTCTAGAGAAATCATAGACGACTCGTGGCGCTACTACCGCGAACTGCTGGCCTCGGAGAATGCAGTGGCCGCCGGGATCTGCGAGCTGTCTGGCTACTTCTTCACCAAGGACGGTCCGGAAAAGGTCAGCAACGCCCACCTGGCGCGGCTGTGCGCCGACTACCGACCCGCTACGGAGCGCGAGCTGCGGCTCTGCCCGGGTGGCTGGACAAACGGCGTGTTCTGCACTACCCTTCTGGCCGACGACACCTACCACCTCGGATGGCTGACTGAAAGGTGAGTCACTACTGCTGCCTGAGTACTGGTGTATAGCGTAGCCGGGGGCAAGACGCCCCAGATAATTTATCTTGCTAAATAACTTCTCTCCCATATCACCTTTCAGATCAAATTTGTGCTCAGTGTGTTCTTTAGACATTTTACTTTCAATCCCACCCCTCAAATTCATTCACTTGTGATCGAGTTGCTGCAGCTAGGAAGTGATTTGTGAAGCAGCTGCGAATCGGGCATTTTCCCCGCCCCTAGGGCAAAATGCCCCATGACCTGGGGCAAGAAGCTCCAAGTCACAGGTCACATGTCCCAGTGTTCGACCCATTCGACCATTAACATATGGTATGCTCGGCATCAGGGGGTGCGGAATGCACGCGCTAGTGGCGAAAAACATGTTTTGAGGAGACATCCTCCGATTCCGGAAAACCTTGACCTAGGCACACAAAATTTGGCACACTGACACTACTGGACACGCGCTTTAAGGTGCTGTACAAATAGGCGTGCTGCGGTACACGGTGCACGTGCTGTGCACGTGCAAACTTTTTAATGTTGCACTCTGTGTCACATATGCGGGCGCTGGCAAGCTCAAAGTGCCAAATTTACACAGGCCACCCAGAACGCATTACAGCATAGTTATTGAGCATATCCATCTCCTGGTGGACACCAAAGGTGCGCTCTGCACGTGCAAAAAAAAATTATCCGCGCCGGGCGGTGGGGGTGCTTGGACACCCCATGTGGATTTATGTAAATATCTCGAATACGGCGTTGTGTAGCGCCGCCGTTTTTGGCACACCTTTTCATACATCTTGTTCACACATGCTGCGTAACTTTCAGACTTAGGTCACTCAAGGTTAGGTCATCAGGCTACGTCCAAGTGACCTTACCTTAGGAAAAGTTTAGTGCCCGTCATAGCTACACAGACTGAACAATCGGTTTAAAACGTGCTGCGATTGATAAGAGCAACAGTATATACGTAGAGTACATCGACCTCGAAATTTCAATATCACTGACCTAGGGTTCTGTTGATTTCGCGATTTTTCTATTACACGTAAGTCCATGGCAGACAATTGAACTGGGGAGCATTCTGGTTTAGGGGTAAGTTACTTGCCTCTAGATTCGGCCATCCAGGTTCGATTCCCGGGCAATGCACGTGGCAGTGCCGCTACCTGACCATTTGGAACAGCGTGAGAGTTCCGGTTAGCGCCTTGGTCCACTGGATGTGGTGCTTCACCCAAAACCAAGACAATTGAACTGCGCTTCTGTTGACACTATATATGGCCTTGTTCTGTTGCACAAAACTCATATAAACATACTAAACAATGCACTCAAATCACGGGACACGGCTGGCAGGGAAACGTGACGAACCTAATCGGGAAATTGCACCTGTGACCTACATTAATGTCCTAGGGTTATTTCAGATCATGATGGACCCCCATAACTTTTTGACAGTAACCTTTGGTAGAGACATCTAAGAGCGCTGAAAACACTTTTGATGTGTTTAGTTCAGCTTCGTAAATTGAGATTGGAAGTTTTTTTGGGTTCTGGATCAGGAATGTCATGTTTGTTTTGATCCCAGCTGATGTTTTCATGGCCAGGTCGGGTCAGGTCAGGTCAGGTCAGGTCAACCAGTAGGTGTCCTACGGCTTATCCATAGTAGGTGTCAACTACCATTGATGGCGTTGTAACATGTTTCGAAGACACTAAAACTACATTCCTCTTAAATGTTCAAATGAATACTAAATTCGAAATCAGCTCCAAGCACTGCCCTAGAAACATGTAAAACTTGAAAAAGTGAGCCAAGATCATCAAAGGTCAGTCACCTTGACCTACCCTTCATGTGACCTTGACACCTACCATACCTATTGCGTGGGACCAACAACATTCCACATGTTCGAACGTACAACCACAAAAAGACTGGAAACGCGCGGATAATGTGGGCTGACTTACGCCGAATCACGATTCTGACCCAACACGGTCTCGTGAGGGATCAGATACTGATTTACCGTTACTCAGTCAAGTTCGAACCATTTCTTGGCCGCGGTCACCGGTCCAGGCCACCACATAATCGTAAATTATACCGCGCTTGCAATGATCAATGCTCAGCTCGTATTGTATGTAAGAGCACTGCGGCACAGCATAGAAACAGGCGCTTTGCTACTGCCATCTATGGGTGAAAGAAGAAGATAATGGTTATTGCGGTACAGTATCACTGCGGGCGCAAACAATGTGGATAACAAAGATGCCTATGCTGCGCTGGCCGGCGATTGAGGCGTAAATTTGCGTTGCTGGGTAGCAAAAAGCTTAGGAGCCCGAATTTGACAAAATAAATGATTTGCTGTGCTGGTGGTCTGAGGTCGCAAAATCATGAGAACCCTAGGTCAGTGATATTAAAATTTCGAGGTAGAGGTAGGTACTCCACGTATATACTGTTGATATTATCAATCGCTGCACGTTTTAAACCGATTGTTTAATCTTTGTACTGTGTAGCTATGACGGGCATTATAATTTTGCCTAAGGTAAGGCCACTTGGACATAACCTGGTGACAGGGGCGCGGGAACTACTTCCAGATTGGGGGGGGGGGGGATCTAGTTTTTTTCACCGGTTTTAGGCCACTTATTTTTCATTCCTTGGCTTTTTCAACAAAAAAGAAAACATTTGCAAAAAAGTGGTATTCCGTCTCAAAGCTGTGGGGCACCTCCCCCACGGCCCCAGAGTTGGAGGGGGGCAAGCTGCCCCCACTGCCCCCCCCCCGGCTCCCTCGCCTATGCCTGGTGACCTAACCTTGAGCGACTTAAATCTGAAAGTTATGCAGCATTTGTGAAAAAGATGTATGAAAAGGTGTGACAAAAAAACGGCTGCGCTCCACAACGCCGTTTTCGAGATATTTACATCAATCCACATGGGGTGTCCAAGCATCCACACCGCCCGGTGCGGATAATTTTTTTGCACGTGCAGAGCGCACCTTTCGGGCCCACCAGGAGATGGATATGCTCAATAACTATGCTGGAATGCTTTCTGGGTGGCCTGTGTAAATTTGGCACTTCGAGCTTGCCAGCGCTACCCGCCCTACCCGCATATGTGACACAGAGTGCAACATCAAAAGGTTTGCACGTGCACAGCACGTGCACCGCGTACCCCAGCACGCCTATTTGTACAGCACCTTAAAGCGCGTGTCCAGTAGTGTCAGTGTGCAAAATTTGTTGTGTCTACATAGGTCAAGGTTTTCCGGAATCGGAGGATGCCTCCTCAAAACATGTTTTTCGCCACTAGCGCGTGCATTCCGCACCCCCTGATGCCGAGCATACCATATGTTAGTGGTCAAACACTGGGACATGTGACCTGTTAATTTGGCACCCGTGCCGCCCTTTGTTTGATTTGAAGCGTCGCTTAAAGGTTTTTGCCCTTTGACTTTTGTCGGGCGCGTGGCACGCGCCATGTGACACCGGGTGACCTGTGACATGCATCATCACATGCCTCAAGGCATTACCCGTCGAACGGTACCACCAGCATCTCGATTCGATCATCCGTTTAGACTCAATTCTAATTGTATTGGCTCGATGACCTTCCAGAGCACGGTTTTTGGCAATGAAGATGGCGCCTTGTCGGCTTCACCTGAATGGTGGTGGTTGCGGGTCCAGTTTATTTTATTTATACGTCCGTGATGGATATGCCTATGGATATGCTAGATGTCACGTGCAAAGGTCAAGTGTAATCAATGATCAACGCGTTTCAGCCCGACCCCACCATACACGATTTGGTAGCCGAGATCTGTGACGTCAGCCGGGCGTGAAGTTTTCCCTTCACATTAAGCTCAACACACAAACTAACCGAAGTTCATTCCTGGATATCTCACTTTGGAAGTGCAAAAAATTATTAAATTTTGTCCTCATTAGATTTAGTGCTTCATTTTCTGTCTGAAAACATCCATTACTTTGCCTCAAAACAGTTATAAAGTACTCAAAATCGAAGCTCAAGAAGATGCTGTCCTAACGCAGAATCTGGTAATATCACGTAGCTTCTTTTCTGCAGAATATAGGTAATTTTCAAATATAATTACAGGATTGCTCATAAAACATCTTTAATATAATGATTTTAATATATAACTTTCGTTTAATTTACAACATTGCAGAAGCTAAAATTTACCATGGTAGTCACGTGACCAATGGTATAGGAGGAACAGGGACACATTCTAAATGGGTTTGATGTTTTTAATATAAATTATATGAATTTCATGATGAAATTTGAAGATCTTATTTTATTGTTATGTAATACCAATTTTCGTAGGTAAATTATTTTCCCAATCGGTGACATTCTCCACCTAAAGAATGTCCGTGACGTCATCAGGGCTTTACTTTTCAACATCCGATCTACCTGTTTCTTATAGGTATCTTGTTTCAGCCGCGGGTTGGGAGCGCAAAGCGTTTCCCAAGTGAGACGCGTTTTGGACGCGGGTTGTGAGGCTGTGAGCTAAGTGACTATAGTGAAAACACAGCGCACGTAACGTTTTCCGCGCTTGACGCGAATTCGACGCGTTTTGCAAGCATGTGCTGTGTTCTGGCCTTTAAGCTCAATTCCGGTTTTGTTTCGTTGTGAGCCATATCTGGCGCGTATCTCCACGTAGCGACAATAGGCTGTCTGGCTAGAGATCAAAATCCCACCTGATGTTGTGTATCTGGGTCCCTTCGTTCAGTTTTCTCCCCCAAGACCCAACGTCTTGACCTCCGATATACTTGACCTCCGATGTATTCTCACCGCCACAAGCGACAAAACAAACGGTCTTAGAACCGCAACCCTTACCTCTCCGTACACCACACGCACTGTGCACCAAGATGGCGTCCCTCCACGCTCCACATCACGAAACATTGCACTCTTGTCACCATTATGGCGCACACCACGACCCTAACACATACAAGTTTTGACAAACAAAGTTTTAACAACCAAATTAATGGCCCCCCTTCACATCTATACAGTTATCGCGTAAACCTGTATCCTAGTCTTAAATAGAGAGAATGGATGTCTGATATGTCTGAGAGATGAGATAGAGAAGAGAGTGAGATGTCTGTTGGCTCGCTGTTCGTCTCAGGTTTAAGGAAGCCGGTGGCACCATCATAGAGGCTGAGGTGAGGGACCTGCGCGAGCTAGCCGGCTACGACATAGTCGCCAACTGCAGTGGACTGGGCGCCAAGCGGCTGCTGAACGACAGGCGACTGGTGCCACTCCGGGGCCAGGTCTACAAGGTCAGGGGGCCGGCCCGCCTCGGGGTCGTATCTGCAAGGTCAGAGAGCTGGCACGCTCTGCTGCAGGCTGCTCGGGACCTGGCTCGGCTCCACACACTCGGGGGCGCCATGGGAAGCTAACAGCTAACGGCCACAAGCTGTCGAGCGAGAAATTTAACCCTCCTAAGGGCTAACGAAAATGCATGGCTTATTTTACATTGTATCATTTCTGTTGCAGGGGCGGCGGATTCGGGGGGCAGGGGGGCAGCTGCCCCCCTGGTAAACTCTTGGGGGGGGGCAAAAGTATCTTTTTGCCCCCCCTAATTTGTGACAAAACTTAGACAAGAAACATATACCTGATTATTCCGTTCGATCATCTGAAGATGTAACCAGATGCCCATATACACTATCGTACGTTGCGTTTCTTAAATGACAAGTGTTCGCGTTCAATTCAAGTTTTCCTCTCTTCAACCTAGTTTTGGAGACATTATAAGCGTCAATGTGAGGCAGCGGCAAGCCAGGCCTTCAGTGACCGCTTACAGGGGCGACGAATACGGAGCGGCAGAGGAGGCATCGTTCCCTAAGAAACTTCTGGAGGAGGGACAAACGTATATTCTTGCCCCTCCATAATTTGTGCCCTAAACATGACGAAAATTTTCATAGCCTGATATTGCAGCTATGCGCTCCTACAGTTTTTCCAACGGTGCCTTTTGAATATGTGTAACGGGTGTCTACTAATTTTTGGCACAAAAGTTTAATTTATTTTTATTTACACTAACGTCACCCAATGTCACTGAAATTCTTTGCATATGAAGACCTAACAATTGTGCACTCGCCACAACATTTTTATTTTATTTTCGTGCAATATTCACTTATCATGGAGACTTTGACTAAAACGCAGGCTCGTGAATTTGTGGCCGATTTTGCCAAAGAACACCATTTCCTACCAAAAAGCGAGCTTGGGTCACGGCTGGAGGTAGCAGGAGTGTCGAGAAGAACTGCCTACCGTATATTGAAGAACATTGAGACTAGGGGTAGCAGTAAGCACGCCGGTAAAGGGAAAGCTGGCGCAAAACCCTCCAAACTTGGGCCCCAGAAGAAGCGCCTTCTTTTGAATGCCGCCAAGGGACGCGTTGGAACATCCCTGCGCGTGCTGGCCCGGCGTTTTGGCGTATCTCATCAGTATGTGGCGAAAATCCTTCATGATAACAACATAAAGTATAAGAAAAGGATCAAAGTGCCCGAGGTCACTCCTGAGCAAGAAAAGTGGCAGAAGACCCGGATAAGACGGCTGGCCCGTGGGTCGTTCTCGAGGAACGCCGAACTGGAGGTGGTCATGGATGATGAGAGCTATTTTAAGTTCTCAGGAAGTGATATGCCCGCAAACTCCGGCTTCTACGCTGGCCCTGGAGGAGACGTACCGAATGACGTCAGATTCCGGCCTGTAGGAAAGTTCCCGAGAAAGCTTCTCGTCTGGGTGGCGATCTCTCCCAGGGGGGTGTCAAGCCCTGTCATCTGCCCGAGCCGCACCAACGTAGGGGGCGACTTCTACCGCCAAGAGTGTCTCCAGAAGAAACTTTTCCCATTTTTGAGAGAACAATACCCTCATGGTGGGTTTATCTTTTGGCCAGACCTGGCAGCGGCCCACTATGCCAAGAAAATGGTCACCCTTCTGGAGGAGGCTGGGGTGCCGTTTGTTGCGCGCGATGAAAACCCGCCCTGCGTGCCTCAGCTGCGACCCATCGAGGACTTCTGGGGCATCGTCAAGCAGGAAGTTTACAAGGGCGGATGGAGAGCGGCATCAGAAGTCCAGCTGAAGAACCGTATTCAGAGGGTTCTTCGTTCGATCCGAGAGGAGGTGCCGCGCACCATGATGGGGAGGGTCCCGGAGCGCGTGCGCCGTGCCGAGCGACGAGGAGTCAACAGCAGCCTGCACTGATCAGATAGCGTTAAGTATGAGTGCTACCAACCATGTGTGAAGTTTGGTGACGTTTGAGCAAAATATATGTGATTTATGAGACCTTTAGTTTTGTGCCAAAAATTAGTAGACACCCTAAATCCTAACCATTTCCGCTTTATAGCATTTTTTTGTCTTTTCAGATTCGATTTAGAGATATTTTTAGTGTGCAAGAGACGCAACTCACACCCTCAATGGTCGTTTGCCGCTATTTTGTACCTACACATGAATGCCAAATCGCAAGCGAGCGGAGACGGAAGGGCTAGCCATTCGCTTGCGGGTAGTTAAGACTGATGAGCGCTCGTAATAAGCCACTCCCCTGATTTTTCGAGCGCAACAGTTTCCAGTGCAAGTAAAATGGTAAACGCAGAGGTCGTACACATTGACCAATGCACGGTATGACACCCAAAGGCCAGTCATCAGATATCTGCTTTGGGCATTCGGAGGCTTGTGTGGGGCCAGTGTAAAAACTGGATGTTCACAGTTCAGTATCCGCTTTATTTCAGTATTCACTATTAAATAAGCAAAAATTAACGTTGGAAACTTTTGAGGGCTAGGGCACTGATCATTAGTGGGGCCCCCTCTGGCTAAAGGCTGGCTATAGAATACAGAGCATCGAACACGAAAGCAAAATCTAAGGCATTTTGGAAAAATGAGTATGCCCCGCAGCGTCCGATAACTACCACCTTCCAGTGGGTCAAGCCAACGGGGTCCAAGTCTATAATGGCACTTAACGATAGCACTAACCTTGTCTCACTTTTCGTTGAAGTCTGTTCTGAATGGTTTCGGCGACAGACTGGCTGCACTGAGGTCGTTTGGTATGTGCAACTGTAATTAAAGCCACCTGAGGCGCCCACACTAGGCTGAAGCTAGGTTGGAAATGCTTCGTCTTTGCAGATATCACTGGCCGCTGATTCTCGAGTGCCTGAACCGGTAGATGTCGTGGCAAAATTTGGTGTGATAATTTGGGCCTTACCGCAGTCAGCGCACCCTAAAGTCCTAATAAAGAAACGCCCCCTCCCCCCCCCCCCCAGAGCTTCTGCATCCAGTCCACCGAATTCCTTCACCCTAGTCCGCTGCTCGACTCCCTCACCTCAGCCCTCCGTTCCCAGCTTGACGAGCGTTTGGGACTTAGTTAAGCCTTGCTGTGGACTTACTGTAGGATAAACCCATCGAGACAGCCCGTCTCGGTGAGCTTAGTTGGCGAACTACTGCCTTGGGGTGGGTTTCTGGCGGATTGCTGTCCCAATAGGTTTAGATGCGAACGACTGTCTCTGAATGTTTGAGCGGTCTCCTCCCGCTGTTAGCTAGTTTCAGTTGATAGCTGTCTCAGAAATACTTTTTAAAGGAAGGTTAAACGGAAATCGAACGTAAAATGAACAGAGGAAATGGTAACGAGTTACCTCATTGAAGAATAGCGCTCGCCTACTTCAAAAGGTTTGGCACCGTTCTTCAAATCTAAATTGAACCCACTACACGGCGTGCGGACACACAGACAGACAGACAGACGGATTCTGTTTGAATAGTAAGTTAGATGACGTTTTATTCCAGTTTAATTTAAGCCCTCATTGTGCGGAAAACTGTGAAAGTTCCTCTGTCACACCACAAAGAGAGCGCTTTGTTTTTTCGAGGAATAAGATTGTATCGTCTGCATACTGGCTTATGCGAACCTCTGTTACTGCATCCCTGTTAACCCTCGCCCGCACATGCCATTTTCCCATCCTAGAACGCACATGGGGGGGGGGGGGGTTGCCACCCCTCCGCACCGTTTCGTTCCTGTTGGAGATAGAGCTTCGCGGTAAAGACCAAAATTTGGGAAGAGACAAATCTAATGATACCCAGTTTTACCTTCTCAGGTCAGTCATTGACCTTCCAGGTCAGGTGAAACTAAAAAATGTTGCTGTTTTGGGTCACCGTTGGATATCAAGTGCGCTGCTTATCATATACCGATGACGATGCCGTTTTCTGGTGCCAAGCCAGCTAGAACCTCTTTGTAACACTACCCGACCAGAATTTTGCTGATGAGGTCATTTCAGGTCAAGTTAGGTCAAGGTCAATGATATGTGTTTGTATGTCTGTGTGTGTCTGTGTGTATACTGATGTGTGCACCGAGTGTTTATGTGTCCATATTACATGAAATGATATGAGAGGCTTTTACCAAAAATGCAGTCAAAAAACTTCACGAAAAGTAAATTCAGCTTGCCTAAAACGCAATTATTTTAGATGACCTAGGTTGACCTTGACCCTGACCCTGACATCTGTACATCGTCGAACGACATGTTCCATGATAGGTGGGAGGTAAGACTGGCAAAAAAGGCCGAAATCAAGGTGTGAAAAGCTCACAAGGCCCATAGCCAACGCATGATGTTGAGAATTGGTCATTTGGGTCATGACATGACCTGAAAAACAAGGTCATATCTCCGAAACCAAAAACCACAGAAACTTGAAATTTTCAGTGGACATCAAGAAAGGATAGAGGAGCAGCTATGCCAAAAATCAGACTTCTAGCTCTAAAAATGTTGAGTGGAGAGCAGAAAGACTTCCTGGGGGGGGGGGGCGGCAACCCCCCATGTGCGGGCGAGGGTTAAAGCTCTCGACTGTGTTATTTGCTTCGCCAATATTTCTATCGCTATGTCGAAGAGGAAGCCAGACACAGGATCTCCATGTCTTATTCCTCTATGTATTTATATTTTTTTTCCTAGAAATCCATTTAATACTATCCGAGAAAAGTTTTTATTATTAAGGTACATTATATTTATGAAGCTTATGAATTTAGTTCCAAAACCCATTTCGGTCAGCACAGCTCTTAAGTAAGGCCAAGAGACTGTCTCAAACGCAGCCTCAAAATCGGCAGCCATGATAAGACCAGGTGTACTTGTTCGATTGATACGTGATATAACATCATATACTAAGCGGCTATTTTCACCGATAAATCTACCTTTGATGTAAGCTGTCTGTGAAGAACTAATTAAACGGTTAATCACTTTTTTGAACCTGTTCGCTATAGCTGTTGAAATTATTTTGTAGTCGACATTCAAAAGGGATATTGGGCGCCAACCTTTCA